GAAAAACCGAAGCTATCGATACCCATCCCTTACCTCGAATGAATTCTAAATTGCCATGCCACCTATTTGAAATTCCACTCCCCGATCTGCTCGAGCCCTTGATGGTTAGCCCACTTCCGTAATGTTTGGTGCACTCAAAGGAAGCGGTCACCACATAATTTGTTGGTAATGCGACAGGAGTCCTACAGGTCTTGTATCTTGATAACACATGCAGAACCACCGCTAGTCCGTCAGCTCACTGTCGAGTGGGACCCCGAAAAGCTTCATATTTTGAAGGTATGTGGGTCTTGAGGGGGGTAGAAATACGCTCAACAGCTCTGAGCTGCTTTTAAAATTTTGATGTCTTGTCGGTTTCCCAGCGTTACAAGTCGCAGCAATGAGGATTTGGATCGATTAAGATGTTACATACGAGTTCAATCAAGCCATGAGGGCAGCTTTCAGAATTATCCTGTTCGAGCACCTGGCACGGAAGCCCCTGGGGTCTAGTGTGCCGCGGATAATAATTCTGATGCTGGCAGGAGACCAGGCTCGAATTCGATAGCTCCCTTGAGCCCGGTAGAAAGTCGCACCCGACGCAGCCAAGGAGCCTACTGGTTGTACCTCCTCTCCTTATGCTGCACAATGCCCCGGATATGTATGGTTTGAGTAGCCTGGGCACCTACTCCACTTGGGAAGGAGACACCTAAGACCACATTTCGTGCGGAGAAAAGTTGATGGATGGCGGAGGCATGTCTGGATAACTCAGGGTTTTTGAGACGTTTCCCTGGGTGGGTATTGACGGGTGAAGGCTGACTCGGCATGAAAAAAGCTGCCATAACTTCGCAGTGGTACTTGCAAATGAAATCCGCGGCATTAGTGCTCTTCCTTTATCTTGAATTATCTATTATGTACTTTTCTTTGACATTGTGTCATAGCTAGATAGCTGCATACGCAATTAAAATCTGTTGCAAAAAATAAATGCCCCGGCTATTCATGTGGACTCTGCTTCACCAAGCGCCGGCTTCTTCGATAATGTCGCACATCTTGCAGCGGTAAGGCCATTCGCTAGAATGATAAAACAACCTACCCTGGTATCCCTGCAGGTATCTGGTTAGATGTTGCAGATGAGATTACATTCGACCCTAGCAAGTAAACATCGATGCGCTCCCCGCGCTGATCAACAGACACAACTCAAACTGATAGCCTGGGCTGGATATATTTCACTTGGCCGATCGGCGGCAGACCCTTTCCGGGTCGGCTGGACCTATTTATCGACCCCAGCCGCAGATGATGTTGGCAGGCCCGCATGAGCCAATCAAGTCTCTGGAACGCAGGCGAGCTCCCTGAATCATCGGACAAATGGCCCGCCATGTTCCGTCTACTCGCACTGTCAGGCAGCACATGCATCGGTGTTCCTAGCAACCTAATCAGCCATCACCTAGTAACCAGACGCTACCCATTGCGTAACCTGCTCAAGCTTCTCAGCAACGTTATACCAACGAGAACCAGCACTATCCTTCCACCCTACGAAGCCACGAGCTCTCCGGCTCTCCACAAAGAGACAGGCGCAAGCCTGCGCTCATATGACCCTGCTCATACGTCGATCAAGCTTGCAGTGAAATTTCCATCTCCTTCTCTGTGGCCGCCGACGCAAGCCAACGTCCCACAGGCTCCTCTTCGCCCCCCATTCATTCACGAGAAGGTCGGTTAATTCCCTCTGCATCTAGCAAGGGTCGTGGGCCCATACATAACCTTAATGGCAAGTGCGCTGAAAACTACGGCTCTGTCCATCATCCGAGCCCGCTCTGGATACTCTATCCTGTCATGGCAGCATGCGCGCTACACTAACCTTGCCCATAAATACCCACCGAGCGTTGGGTACTGGTAGGTAATTGAGACTGTTATCGCTCGGGTCTCGCGATATCAGATTCACACGGTGATCAAAACCGAAGTCTAAGTTGAGCAAAGGGTTATCTAGCCCTTTCTCTATCGACTGCTACGCTCTATCTACATCCTGTGCTATTGCCCTCAGTGGCCATCTCATCTTCCCCAACTAGTGGTAAGACGTCGCCCGTACCTCGTCTCCAGTTCCCGATTATTTGCGCCATGGGATCCTCACTGTCTCCATGCCCAGAAGAACAGTGCCTGTCCGTTATTTTTTACTTGTCCATTCCTGCTGCCGAATATTATCGTCTACAGTCATTGTCTCAGAGTCTTTCACTTGCATACCACAACGATCTAACTGGACGTCCATCGCGGACGTAGGTGGGAAACAATCGGCTTCCGTTGTACCGACTCATTAATGCTATTCCTCCCGAGGAGGAAAGCGAATAAGCATTCCCGTGATGATACCCTCTTATTAGCCAAGGCCCATCGTAGAAAGATTCGTGCTTATGTCTTCTGGATCGTTCTCGTAGGACCCAATCTCCCGTACCGTATACTCTGACGAGTGCCTTGTCCTCTTGTGTGTAGGCCCTTGTTTGGTCGCGGGCAGATTTGAGTGACGCGCCATTGATCCTGGCAGGCGGTGCAGCGTGCATTTCAATCAATTCAGCAGCGATGAGTGCCCTTCCCGCCTTGATAGTGTTTGGAATTAATCTGTTTCCAACAGCTGCCACTTTATCCGGGTCGGCCTGTATACCCTGTTCTGATATCAAAAATCCAAAAACTCGCCTGTTTACAAAGAAACGACATTTCGAAGGGCTCAACATTTTGCCCTATTCAAAGAGGCCTTGCAGGATCTTGGCTAATCTTTCATGGAGTTCACTCCTTGCGTCTCTGCCCAGACACAAATGTCATCAAGTAAGCCCGCTACCCATTCTCGAAATGGAGAAAGCACGTCTTGAACAAAGGCTTGAAACGTCGCTGGAGGATTGCAGAGGCCAAATGGCATCACAAGCCAATCATAGAGACCCCATGGTGTAGTGAATGATCTCTATGGTGCATCTTTATCTGCTATTTTGATGTGCCAGAAACCGTCTTTGAAGTCTAGGAATGCATACCATTCGTAGCCCGCGGCACGTTGGATTTCGTAGAATGCGTTGGGTAGTGGCTGAGGATTTTTCTTTGTGACTTTATTGAGCGGCCGATAGTCTACACCGACTCTGTAAACAGGGCATGGTATTCGTTCGGGAGTCATTTTAATTATAAGGACGCATGAAGCCCAAGGGCTGGTACTTTTCTGAATCAACGCACCGATTTTTTCCTCGAGAAATTCGCGGATGGCTCTCTCATGAGCTAGAGTATACGGCCGTAGCGATACCCGAATAGGCGCACTGTCACCGGTGTGATGTTCCACTTTGGAGATTTTGGAAGTTATGCGCAGTGGTGAGTTAAAAAGGGCAGGGAATTCGTTTGCATAACTCCGAAATAGAGCAGGTGCCCATCCAGGAGTATCTCAATGGGTAGGAATAGCTGGTGTAGGAGTAGGTTGCCTTAAAGTATGTGCAACTTTGGGATTGACAATTGTTGGACTTGAAATTTGGGTATCGTTAATGGGAAAACTAGAATTGGCGAGAGTGTATGAGGGATCGCAATTATGTAAGATGGGAGAATGAGAAAAGTCTTGTAATGTTACTTGCCCTTTCGCGTCTGAATAGAAACCGAATTGATGATGAATAGTCTGTCCTAGTCAAATGTCTCCTGGAAAAGCACCGTTTTCGACAAGGCCGCATGAAACTGTAATCTTCTCCGACCATCCATTGTTTCCTGCTAATTGGAAGGCGATAATTGCATCGTGACTAATAGATTGACCTTAACCGCCTGCGCCTGAAATAACGCTAGGCAAACGTGAATTACAACTGCTGATTTTGTCAGATCGCTAATAGATAGCAACTCGGACTGCCGTAGTCCCTGAATACTGTTATTTTATTTTTGGATTTGAATCCAGGCAAGCAAGAGTTTTTTTATGTGGCAGTCCGAGTCCTTGCCGAATCGGGTTATTGCGGTTCCGGGTATTCTGGGCTCCTCCTACAGCCACTAAGTAGGAGCATTCGGGACCCTAATCCTCTGTATCTTCTTGGATTTCGTTTTCTCATTGCTTGATTTCCTAATCGGGGTCGTCGTCTCTCTCAATGCCGTCAATTGGGGGACTGTTGACTTCTTCCTCGTCCTCGTCGGATGCGACGATGTAGACCTCTCGTCCTTGACTTGTCTTTCCCTCTTAGAGATGTTTTCCTGCCCTGCGAATTAGGCTGCCGACCTTGGAATTTCACTAAAAAGAGTTCCATTGATTGTCAGCGTTTGCCCTTTTTGCTGTGGCACAAGTGCAGGCCTGATGTTAGGGGTATTCCCTTTTTTCTAGTGGGACAATTTGGGGAGACATGTCCAGCTCTGCCACACTAGTTGCAGTCACTGCGCTCTGGGATCCTCAGCCCCAAGACAAGCAGGCTAAGATCCGGCCGGCCTCCCGTCGCTTGCACGAAAGTCTTGGCGCCGCTTCCAGCCACCATGATCCCGCAAGCGCTTAGGAGCTCGGACCTCTGGCTGCTGAAATTCCCCTCCTCTACCACTATGGATAACATCTCAAGTTCTGCTCCGCGCCAATAGACCCTTGACTACACCGATTCGTCGAACGCGCAATGTTCCGCATGAACATATCAGCAATAATTTGTCGTTTGGGTCGTCATTCGTTAGGTAGCTTGGCTTTGTAGAAGAGACATGGGTAGCTCTGGCTGACCGCAAATTGCTTACCGCTTCCCTTGGCCATCGTGCCGTAATAAAAAATGGCTTAGGTACATAAGCCTGAAGTTTGTGGTACAAATGCGGATGAAGAGAGCACGGAGTGTGTTTACGTAAAGAATCTTGATGTCTGTCCCGGCAAGCACGCGTGCCGACGCAGAAAAATTTCCCAAGTACGTAGAACTATGAGCACGGCGCTACATGATTTTCAGAAACCATTCCATCGCCTATCGACCGTGTCCGACAAGCCCTTGGCCCCGATCCCGTAACCTTATCCTACTCCCTGCCTATCATCTCGTCATGCCCCTCATCTGCTAACATTCTACAGCGACACACTTTGCCTATCCGACACCCCTCTCCATTTTGTATCTTTCCCATAAACTCCATGACAAATGTTGTACAGTTTTCCGTGGGCAAACTTATGTATAACCAATACTGGCCTGGCCGATGGAGCTAAAAGAACTCCCCGACACATGTCGTGCGCGTCGGCGCTTACCCGGCGCCTCGAAGTCAACAGCACGGCCAAGAGACATGGTCTGTTTCTCGCGGGCCTCAATCAACCGGCCCATCATTCCATGTGCACCCTGATCTCGCTCTGACGTCGTCGAGACAGTCGGAGGCCGTCCATCGAATCCAGTGATCGTCGCAGCGCGGCTAAGACTAGCTGATGTGAGATGGCGCCTGACAGGCAGGGACGACTGCATGAGTCTTGGCGCCTCGGCGCAGGCAGAATGATAGGGTTTCTCGCGCGCTGCACCCATATTTAACTCAGAAAAGCCGCGCGAAGGAGCCCGGTGACAGTAGTCGACGTCCTCATCAACCGCCTGTGGCGTCCGAACAACAAGTGAAGAGAGTCGACTGCTCATTGCGCCTTGCGGCGAGGTTCTCGAATCAGGTAGAACCATGCGGGTGCTGTGAAGGCTAGGGGTCAGCAAGCTGCTTCGGCGGGCCCCGAGACGACTCAGCGTTTGAGGACTAGATTGATGAGGTTTCATCTGAGTTGATGTATATGGTGTTGTGGAAGTCGTTGACTGAATCGCTTTTCGACTTTCGTCTTCTTGTTTGGTTGCGTCACTAGTCAGGCTCGTACTCTCGGGTGGCTTTTCACATAAAGCTAAACAGAGCTCTGTCAAGCTCCGACATAAACTTTCAGCCTTGCGGCGAACCTGTCGATCTGTTACACCCGCTGTGCCATGGCCAGAAGTTTGCGCATTGGAAATGGGCCCTGGCTGGCCCGAGTTACCCATCATAGAGACGATGGAAATGGCGTCGAAGGTTGATGCTTCAAGAGCTTTGTAAATTTCCGGCATTAGAATCGGCTTGGATTTTGTTAGAGCTGATTTTAAGAGTGGATACACCTCGTTACTTGAGGTTGGAGGAACGGACTCAGTGAGCGCTTGGCTATTGTTGCGCTCCCATTTTGGTGATATTGACATCGTGGTAACCGTGGTCGTGGCAGTACGCGGGCGTTCACTCGAAGCGTGAGAGGTCGCTGTCCCTGTGCCCGAGTTGGGCGCTATTTTACCCGTCATTTCAAGCCTGTGAATTCGCGATTTTAACTCCTCCAATTCATCCCAAACAGTTGATTGAGCTGCAGTTGAAGCCAGGGATTCCGTATCTTCTGGTTTTCGGGCATGTTCCTGTAAACAAGCCATTTCCATTGTACGTGGAACGAGCGGAGATGAATTGTACATGCGTGATGTCGAGTATAAGCCGTTGGGCAGTCGATATCCTGATCTCGGTGGTGATTTCAAGTCGGGAATAGAGGGCCTTCTTCCTCCAATTGTATGTTGTACTGATTTATCAGCGCCCGATGATCTCGAAGTGCTTCTGTATTGAGAAATAGATTGGATTGATGACCTTCGATCAGCCTGAGGAAGAAAGGATTCGCGAGGCGATGAATCTCGACTGTTATTGATAGGTGTGCTGGGATTTTTACGGGAAGTCGGTTGATTAGGACATATCTTATTGAAGCCTTCTCGCCTCATGCTTTTATCGGTGCTGACAAGTGAAGTAGATGGATCTGATCTAAGGGTATATGATTTACTTGGAGTACGCTGAAGAGAGTGACTGTCTTGCTCCAAGCCTTGCGGAGTTGTGTGAGGCGGTAGAGGAGCGTATGCTATTCGCGACTGAGCATGCTAGGTCAGTTCTACGATAAGTTTTTATGTGTAGGGAGACCAGTAGCTGCTTACCCATCGGTTTGGCATGGGAGATTTGGTGTGCACAACACTCGTCGGCCTCGCAATTTCCTCTTCTTTTGCTGCCCTTAGGAAGAGATCGCTTTCGTCGCTAGCGAGTTCATCAGGCTGCTCATTTTGCTCACTGCCTTGGCTCTGATCCATTGAATCCGAGCCCTGGGCCCACTCGGAAGAGGATGTAACCATTGTGTGGTTTGTGGTTATGGGTAGACTTAGATCGTTGATGGTTCGGAAGTGAGGTAGCTGGATAGATATGCGGCGGGTAGATGGAGTAGTCAGCGAGGCGCACTTGGGTTGATCAAAGGTGAGGACGTCGTCGGGGTCAGAAGGACCAATTATTGAGTGCTCGACTATCCAGCTACTTGTTGGCGCAATAGTTGCGTAGAAGCCCTGAGTGACCATGGAAGGGGGCGGACCACGATTTGTCTTTGCTCTCCGCCTGCACGGTGTGTTTGAGCAGCGCCTGGTTCGCTGATGCTTGGGCTTCAACTTGGCAGTCGGATTGTCCGAGGGCCACGAGAAGGTTCTGATGCCGCTTCCAGGATATTTTAATGATTGTGAGGAAGATTTGTGAGACGAGACCGGCTGGCGATAAAAATGATTCAAAGGTTGCTGGTCACCCTTCGGTGTCTGTTGGGATAGTTGTAGTCGTTGCGGGTGCGGTAAAGGCTGAGGAGTGGGCCAAGGCGCTGGCGAAGAGTTGCTAGTCGGGCTGGGTCGAACCCGATCGGTCAGTTCTTTGGTAAGGCCAGGGTCACGGGTAACCTCAGTCATGTTCCCGTCGGCAGCGGTCTCCTTTATGAACAACACAAGAGCGGTGCATGATGATTTGTCGACTTCGACCGGGACGTGCGCTGAGTAAGATATGATCGTTTCGACTTCTGACATGACCTTTCCCTTGAGAAACCACCAGAAGTAGCCAAGGAAGGTTGGAATGCAGGACCAGCAAAGCAGTGATGGTGGTGTCCAGTGAACAGAGGAACTCCAATAGAGTCGGTCTACTCCTTATCGACGAAGAGGGGGGGGACGGGCTGGTAGGCAGGCGGCTCATGGAGTTATCATATTCCCCAGAGTTTGGGGGTATTATGTAAATACTCCTCAAGGCATCGACAACGCTTTCCCAGATGACCTGCAGCGATAAAAAGGAAGAGCCAGGAGACGTGCAGGGAGCGTCAATATTTCCGGGAACCCTTGGGCCGGGGCAGTATGCATCTAATGTCCTAAATAGAGTTGGGAACTACGATATAATTGCTGCCCTGTGAGCTCGCAGAATCTACTTACCCTCACTCTGCCATCTTCTTTGACGAATTTATTGCTACAGCCGTCTCAGTGATTTTGAAGCTTTGACATGGCACCAACACGCATGTTGTCACAGTGCGTCCCGAGGAAAAAGTGCAAGGGATCGGAACCCAGCACTTCTCAGCTAATTGGGTTGCTAGAGAATAAAGCTGATTCTAATTGTGACTCTGCTATACAAGATAGAGACCAACACACCGGCTTCCAACCAGCATTTCTCTTCATCAATTATAGCCGCCGAACCCTCCTGCACACCGCCTTCTAATCCTCACACGCCCTGCCGCTAAGACTAACGCATTATGTCGTACCGGGAAACCCCTACAGGGATGAAATTCAAGAAAGCGGTGACCCACAGCAAAGAGGCTTGATAAAGGACTGCCCTGCGGTTCGAGTAGATTGCACTTATAGCAGTGCAAAATCTATTAGAAACAAGCACCTATTTCTGCTCCTTTTTCCAGTATAATTGCGTTGCGGATAGACGGGTGGGTTTATATTGTGCAACTTGAGTCGCTGGCTATCTAGTCATTGCGCGAATCCAGACCACTTTATTGCACAGTTCTGTCTCACTATTCTGTTAGGAAAATATATCATTGATATATTGCTTGTGATGAATAGCCATTTGGCATAGTATTTACCAGTAGAATTCAACCTCAATTTCCACTGAACATTCTACCCAAAATAGGGGGACTATTCTCAACACCTATCAGCGGTATCTCCTACGAACCTTCAGTTATCACTTCAGAGTCTGCAGAGCCGAGATTGAGTAACAAAGTCCTCACTTAGATGGGGATTCCCCATCACTTTCACGGTCTGTATCGTCTTCATCTATCAACACATTCCCCTATCACCACTATCATGAAGCTAATCATGATCAGATTAGATGATAGGGTCGAAGCCTTTCTCATCACTAACCCTTGACCATGGAGAAGCCATCCGATGAGTTTCTGGAGCGTTTCCAGCTCCCGATACAGCGGTGGTAGATTGGATCAAGTTGACCTTTTTTTGAAGAAGAAGAGAGATATGGGCGGATATACACACCTCGCCTGGCTAGGGCTATAGCTTTTTTGAGAAATCTCCCGGCGCACGCAGTTTTCAATGCTGACTTTTCTATATTTCGGGCAGAAATAGAGAGAGAGAGGTGTGTTTATTGTACTACTTGAGTCTTAGACTATGTAGCACATTACGTTCCTCTCTGACTCATACCACACCTTTTACAGTACTCCTATCCTATTTTGTTACTTCAAAGATCATTGATATATTGCCCGTTATGAATAGCCATTCAGCTCAGTATCTACCCATCGAATTCGGCCACCTTTTCTACGGAACTTTTTACCAAAAAAAAGTTAGCATTGGAAACTGCGTGCGCCGGGAGATTTCTCAAAAAAGCTATAGCCCTAGCCAGGCGAGGTGTGTATATCCGCCCATATCTCTCTTCTTCTTCAAAAAAAGAGGTCAACTTGATCCAATCTACCACCGCTGTATCGGGAGCTGGAAACGCTCCAGAAACTCATCGGATGGCTTCTCCATGGTCAAGGGTTAGTGATGAGAAAGGCTTCGACCCTATCATCTAATCTGATCATGATTAGCTTCATGATAGTGGTGATAGGGGAATGTGTTGATAGATGAAGACGATACAGACCGTGAAAGTGATGGGGAATCCCCATCTAAGTGAGGACTTTGTTACCCAATCTCGGCTCTGCAGACTCTGCAGTGATAACTGAAGGTTCGTAGGAGATACCGCTGATAGGTGTTGAGAATAGTCCCCCTGTGTTAGGAGATGGGCTGAGGGACCAGGACGATGTAGAGGGCGAGAATATTTGGGAATCCTTATCAAGATGAGGACAAAGGTGTTATTCAAAGGCTATGCTGAGCTGAAATGACGCACCGGTAAGATGAAGGTACGGAAAGAAGTTCCATGGCTTCAAGAGAAGTATATTTGGTGACTTCTTCTCAGGATTTAGATTAACGAGCGAGCTTAAACTTTTCTCGAGTATTTTTTAGTGAGCAAATAATCTATAGACTGTGTACATTTTCTATCATAAAATGCTAATATTATTTATGTAGGAGCAAGCCCCTGTGCACATAAATGATGGGGTATCTGAATACTGATGAGTGTTTCAACATTTCGCCTAGTCTAACCGAGAAAGGAAGCATATCGGAAATCCTACCGCGAAGATACACTTCCCAAAATCTATCGACAAACACTTATCATATTTGTGGTGTTATTAGTCATCTCTTAACTACTGAGTAGATCTAGTATTTCGAGTTGAGGTGACATTGGAATGAGATCCTGGCACGGTATAATGGCTCAAGGCTGAATGGTCAGCTTAGTGTGAATTTCTCTTAGATGTATCACAGATGTATGTGTGCATGTGTTTATTGTTCTGTAAGGTCTATATCTATGTGAGGACGTGTAGGTCATTTCTACCTACAGGCCGGGAGTATCTATGCCTCGGATATTGTACTCCCTCCGATGCCTCCTTCACGACTTCTTTCCAGCAGTAATACCCCCCACAGGCCTTCGTCCGAGTACACAATAAGAGGAGCCGTTATCCCGTCCGCATCTTCCCTCTCCAGCCAACGAAACGATGGCCATTTGCGGGTGTGTAGCTGCAGGGAAAGTCTCGAAAACCACTGGATTCGGGGCCCTCCTATGACGAAGAGGCCGGCCAGATAGGCGCAGCAGACCTGCATAGACCTAGGAGCTGTTTTGCTGACTCCCTTGCAAAAGGAGCAGTAAAAAAGACAGCTTTAAGGAAAGACAAACTTACTTCCCATTCTTTTCTAAAGCAGAAAGCAACGGAATATACTTTAAATGCTTGGCATTATGACTGGCAAACTGAAGTTCTCCGAGAAGAGGAAGGTAGAAGGTCTAGGGGACTTGGCAAGCTCTACAGAATCCAAGCCCAGATGCACATACCAACCTTTTCCTTACAACCATTTCACTTTCAGAACCACAGCAGGATGGTTGAATCAGCATTTTTCCAGGCAAGAACTGGGATTGGGAATACCAGAGCTTACCTGATTATAATTGGGAAAGTTAAGGATCAAAGCTGCAATTTTTGCAAGGCTAAAAAGCAGACCACAAAACATTTAATTCTTCATTGTACCAGATTTTGCAATTAGAGGGAACTGGCATTTGTTGACATAAAGCCTCTTTCATTACAAATTTTACTAAGAACCAAAAGGGGAAGGAAGCCCTTCTAGAATTTTTGAAAACATCCAAGTGTATGTCAGCATACAAAGGAGATGATATAGGTACATAAATAATGGACATAAAAATGAATTTAGGGGTGATTGGGGCGATAGCTGGTGTCATTCTGCAATGTAAAATTAATTGAATATTTAATTGTCATAGCTAGATAGCTGAATACAATATGATTCAAAAAAAAAAAAAAAAAAGACCTAGGAGCGTCTCTCGACACTCCTAGCCTCCTTTTTACTCCTCCCCTGATTCGTGCCACTGGACAAACCGAAGGTCGTGAAAAGGTGTCAGAAAAGTCTTGGTCCAGAGTGGCTGCTATGAAGGAGCCTAGCCTAGCATCCAAAAGTTGTTACAGACGTGGGGTCGTCGAGTAACTCGTGTATTTCAGACGCCGTCCTAGCTAGCATGTTCGTAAGTTGAGATTAGTAAGGACGATATTGTAGACGAGTCGAAATCTACTTTCCTAGAAGGCGGATGGGTCTTTTACTTTGCTTTCGTGGGCTTTTTGTTTGCGTGCCGGTGGATAGCACATGTTGTAATGTAATAAGAGCTTCTCTGACTACCGTTGTAGCATTTGGTACCGCAATATCTTTCCTCATTCCCAGCATTATGATCGTCGTCTTGGTCGTCTTATGTGTTATGTGTTATCGGAAGCGTATCTTTGACGGAGGGGGAGTTAACTCAGCTCAAAGTTGAAAAGGTGTCATTCAATCCTGGCTCCGCAGACTCTACAGTGAGAGCTGGAGGTTTGTAGAGGACACCACTGACAGGTGTTGAGTTTTGTCTCCCTATCATAGTTGTAGATAGGGTAGAAAGTAGGAGATATTTACCCCATTTTTTTTACTTTCTAAGGAAATAACGAGATAAGGCCTATCCAACATGCTTTTGAGTGATGGAATGAAATTAAACCACTTTATGGCGCATGTGCATATTATCCTAAAATGAACACTCTACTGAAATGAAGTCGTATTACTTCCTTGATGACAACAAGTTTTACTCAATGTCAGATGCGCAAGCTCTATACCGAGGGTTGAGGATTCAAAAAGGATACCACTTGTAGGTACCGAATCTTATTCCCCTTTGTTGTGTTGATACTAATGTGCCCCCAACATCATTGTCATATCGACACAGGAACTCAGAAAGGAAAGCATTAGAGAGCAGCGTTCGTTTTCTCGGCCTTGCAACAGAATGGCTCTAGACCTCAAACTCTAAGGGGAGATTCAGGGATTTTTCAGAATACTTGTGACTACACCTCTGAACTCGAATCTAGCTATCGTAGATGAGCCGTCAACTGCCAAACAGTTCCCTCTGACACTTTAGGAATTTGAAGTTTACTGTAGAGACATGAATAGCGACAAGAAGTTTTGGAACATCATTATAAACTCATCTAACTTTGAAAATTGGGATGCTCATGGTATGGAGGAGCCGCATGGGTCGAATTTCCAGGACCTGCTCTGGGGGCGAGTCACATCGCTAGCAGACATTTACTACCTAGTCTGTTCGAAGGAAATTAGATGTAAATATTTCCAGCTGTCGTATCTTCTGTGCCGCACTGGGTCAATCATTTGTCTCTAGTGAGCAGATGTTTTACTAACATATGTGCGTGTCATGCAAATAACTGGAACGAGTCATCCGTAACATAGGAATTATACCTCTTGTAGTCTTAGAAGGTAAGGGCGAAAGATGGTGAACTATGGAAGTAGGTCCCCTCAAGAACTTGATGCATCGCTGCTGAGACATTGGCTCGAGTTGGTAGTTAAAACATAAGCATTAAAAGAGTTTGTGAACTTGAGCCGATGCATCGTCTGCAGCGGCGGCGTCCGCTTAGTTTCCTCAACCAATAAACTACGGAATCACATCTCCAACAGCGAAAATAATAAATGGAGGATTTCTGTCAATATGCAAAGATTGATACCCCTTCGTACTATTTCTTCTTTGAAACATGGCTACGAATGACTCTTCCTTTTCACACGCCTCAAATCGATCTACCTCGATGCATAACACTTGCAATAAGAGCAAGCAGCTGTCTGGTACAGGCGCGAATCGCGGCTACTTGATCAATACTTGTCCTGTTTTTATTCCAACACAATTCCTCACACCTGGTCCAGGTCAGGCCGCACTCTGGAAGTCTTTGTAAGCATCATGGAGTGAAGTTTACTTGACGTGAGCTCTTAGAGGTGGAGATTTGAGTGAAACAACGACATGGACTCAACGGCGAGTGAAATTAAGGGAGCTCAGTTGTGATGACTGACTAGATTGCAGCGAATAAATATTTGAAGTGTATTTATTTTTGGCCGATGATGTGAAAAATATGATAGTGGGTTAGTGATTCGAATGCTATGCCTCGCACCATAGAAACACAGTCAGCACGCCCTCGCCTTGCACTTTGACTAGTCTCGCTCTCTCGAGCACGCTATTGCCGCTAGGAGTAACAATGTCTTTTTGGTCTGTTTTTACTCAGTTGGGGCGGGGGGGGACATTGGCAGGGATGAAAGGGTCTGGGAAATGAAACGCATCGTTTTCATTTATTATTTCGATTTCTTATAGACTGTTCTTTTCCATATCCACCTGTGGAAGGAAGTTTTTCTCTCCTCCACTAGCCTTCAATGAGGCTAGTGGGTTCGAGAAGAAGCGAAGAGAGCCAGTCCCGCTCAATCCTAAGTCATCCATGGTTGTTGCAATTCTTGACTTGGCTCTTGATCTTAGCAGCGCATGTCGGCTGCTCTCTCACGTTTATCCGATCAAAGTTTTCTGGTTGACCAACGGCTGTCCTTGACCAATTCAAGTGGGCGAGGTAGAGGATGTGGCGGTATGACCAACCTGTGAGATCGAGGAGCGCAGAATTGCTCCGGTACTCCGTGGGGCACTTGGACCAGCCAGAATGGGCATCGTTGTTTTCCGCCCTTCCTATCCCACGTAAATACCGTCGACTGCTAAAAATACCGACCATTACGTTGTCCCTGCTTCCGCCAGGATTGGCCCAAGAGACGAGACGTTGTTTCACGGGCAGCATTGTCGATGTTGCTTCTGAGGGGCCGGTAGGGGCTACTCACAGGCTGTTTGATCTGTGACCAAGCCCCTGTAATGCGCCTGTGAGCTCCCTGTAAGTCCGCCCCTGCCACGCCCCAAGTGCCCGTGCCCTAGTCATCCAGGGGCCATTGTTAGAGTCGCTGCCCGCCCGTCTTCTCATACATCTCCGTACGGAGCCCGCCGTGCTCTGTGCACCCTCAGAATAACCGAATTGTCCCGACAAGGACGAGGAATGATATCGTGTCTTCCGATCCCTTCCATTATCCTCTGCCACCCCCCCCCAAATATCATGCCCCGTTTGACCGCTTAGATTGAGCATCCTTTGCATTTCAATTTTGACTACCGTTTAGACCTTCTCACTCTCGCTGAACGTTGCACACTCCTTGAGCTTCCGCCCTCGTTTTTCTCAGTCACATTTCTTTTAGTTCGGCGCTCGCTCGCTCGCCCGCTGTCTCTTTATTTTCGCCCTCGCGTGGGCGCCCGAGACCCCTTGGGACCCGACCGCTCTTCACCTTTGCCGCGTCAAGTGTTCTGCATTCCGCCCTCGGTTGAATTGAGGGTGCCATTTTAAACAGTAACACGGCGGCATAGGCGCGTTATCCATCGCGTATCACGCGGCCCATCCGGCTCCAGCTCGTCGCATTGATTCTTATTGCCTACCTACCAAGATTCAAAACCACACTGCCTCTCTCAAGAGCCGCCGCATTATCTCCTCTGGCCCTATCGTCTTTCGTCTCCCCAGCATCAAAAACTCTAACCTCCGAATTTGCGTGAAGAGTAAAGTTGGTTTCAGGTACGGTCGTACGTTTTGATCCCTTCCAGCCTTCTCCCAATCAGCAGGCGTGGCGTCACTAGTGGTCGCCTGCCGCCAATGCCATTGCAGTCTCTGCGACTAGCTGGCTGCCTATTCTATTTTTAGGTCGAGTTGACTGAGCTAACGACTTTCTTTTAGTCTCCCACCAAGTTTCCAGTGAGTTTAATTATTTTACCCCTTCACAACCTCTACCGTTACCTTCACTGTCGACGACAACCACCACGCCGCTGACTTCGAGCGGTGGATCTCTTAAACAACCACATCGCAGCCCTCTTCACTTCTATTATATTTTCATTAATTCACTATCCCCTTTACCTTTTGTCCCTGCCCTCTCCTCTCACTTTCGCCTTCTCCCCCTCTTCAGCACTGTCTGATAAGGTTTCCTGTCGCGTCGCAGCCCCTCTTTCCCTTATCCCCCCGGTGCGTGTGCTCAATCGTCGGCGACGCTGAGACAGTGCTTACATTTTATATCCTCTGGTAAATAACATCGCTTCCTATCTACTGCACTACTGTTCATCTTTGCCTGTCTGCGTTACCATTTCACCAACACTTAAAGATATACTGTTGACCCGCTAGTGAGAAAATCTCAAGTCGAAGCGGTCGCAGTTTTCATCTACTATTTCACGGAATCCTAGCCTACTTACACTTGAAATATACTCTCAATACTCCTCTACCTCCCGACTGTAATTCTATTTACTGCTGTTCGTCTTCGTTTACCTGCTTTCTTTCCTAGTTCCCTCCAGCCATGTCCTCCACATCGACGCTTCCCAGCGCTAACAACCGAACTCTAAAAAGATCTTATACTTCCGTCGCCGTCTCTTCTCCATCATCGCCTGACAGATCCATACCCATCAGGACAGCCAAGGCTCCAAATCGAAGACTTGTTCAGGGTATAAATACCTCACCTCGAATCGCATCAGATTCTTCGCCGTACGTAGCCTGGGGACATACAGATTCGGCCTCGTCTAAAATGTACCAGAGGTACTCACCACCATCAGCATCATTCTTCATGGTATATAACATCGATTCATCACAAATGGATGGAGAAAGCAGGCACATCAATTCCAACCCATCGCACAGCTCTGTTAAAGTCACACATGCCTGCCCTCTTTTAAGACAATCGTCCCTTGTGACCCACGCAGACAAGAATATAACTCACAAGACTGAACCGGACTCGCTCTCCCACTCCTACCACTATCTTCCGAGCCTGTCGACGGAGCCCTCTCCTACAACAACTGTATCAACTATGGATTCTTCGTCCATGTCTGACCCTTCACCAAGCACACCCTCCACTGAATCTCCAGATACGCTTATATCCCCATCATCACTAACTGTCAATAAACTTGGATCCGAAGCCGAAACGGGTCCGAAGCTTGTGATTCAGACACCTCCACAGCTATCCTTGAACGATGACTGTCCCATCCCCTCACCTAACCCGAGAAAGAAGAATCTTAAAAGCTTAGCCTTAAACCTAAGTCCTAGCATGGGAAGTCTTATGTCGTCAGAATTATCATCACCATCATTCATCAAGCCGCCCACCTTGAAGGGAAAGAAAAAACCTAGTTTACTGAGTCTCAACACAGGTGCTGCCAACAACCTAACCCTTGATCCACCCAAGTCGCCGAGGTATTCGACGATGCTGCACCGCCGTAGTCTGAAGCACTCGATATCGAACCCTCAAATACTCGCTACGCCTGCCTTCGGACCAGCCGGGGGAATGACACTAAAGAGTTCTCCTGTGTCATCACGTCTTCGTGATTCGAGTCTGGTTCCTCGAACACTCGGCAACTACTCAATAAATGAGGCAATCCCAGAAGCCCGAACTGGTACCCAGATGGCAACACGTGTGCCTGGAGTAACTGTCGGCGGGGATAGCTTTGATCGTCCACACTCTGGTGAAGATGCACAATCCCCCGCTTACCCTGACGGCCCTATTCTTATGCATGAGCCGAGTGTTTACCTCTACTCGGAGCCAACAGAGGAAGAAGCCTCCAAGTTCGATGTTGTAATCAACGTTGCTAAGGAAGTCAAATGCCCTTTTTCGACCTTCGAAAGGGAAGAGTATAAAGTTCCTCAATTGAGTAACCTTGATGCTTCTTTGTCTCGCTACACGAGTCAAGCTCCAGAAACAGCCAAAGTTGAGTCTACTGACAAAAACAACGAATCTGCACAATCTTACCTTGCATCAAACGCAGCCCCTTCCCGTCAAAACCTTGATACGATAAAAATACCGGAATATATACACATACCTTGGGATCACAATACTGATGTTAAGGACGACCTCTGGGACCTGTGTGAATTAATTGAAGCTCGAACAAAAGCTGGCAAACGTGTTTTGGTCCATTGTCAGCAAGGCGCTAGTAGATCAGCTACCCTAATTATCGCATACGGAATGTTTATCGACCAGAAGCTCGGTCCAAACGAATCCTACCAACAGTGCCAAGCTAAGTCACGCTGGGTTAATCCAAACATGTCGTTACTCTTCTCGTTGAATGATTTTAAGAAGGTCATTGACCAAAAGAAGACGGAAAAAAATAGCATCGTCCGACCAGGCGCAGCAAAACATCGTACAAGCCTTACAGGTAGTGTGGCTGATCTTTCCACAACTATGTCACGCAGGAATTCAACACCCACAACTTTGGCGTGGGAAGCTCCTAATCCCTACTCGAGGAAGGATGACATGCCTATTCCTGCGTCTGCGATAGAGATTGATTCCACTATCTCAAGACTTGGAGCTTTCGACTTTGGAGTCCTAGATCTTGCTACCCAACCTCGAGATCGACACATGGAAAAGCATCACGTTTCAATCCTCACAGACTACTCTCAATCTCTCGGGGAAATAACTTCATATCTGTGCTCTTGACATTTTTCTAATTTTCCCATCTTACACATATTTTGACTGAGTTTTACCAAATTATCGGCAAAAGCAGCAACATGATATGATAATTCAAAGGGAGTTAGAATGCAGGTTGGTAAACTTGACACGCAGTTACGGGTAACTTTTATGAGGCGTTTGGGAATGTGAATTTCCAAGATGGAGAGGTGTTCTGCGAATGGGATTGTTCGCGAGGTGGAGTAAGGCCTTGTTGCCATCATAAGATTTACAAATATGAAAGCACAGACTCAGGCATCATGACCTCTAAAATACTGGGACATGGTCTGCGGTCATAGGAAGGAGTTGGGGAAAGAATTCGGGAAACTATATAGTGAGCACTTTTTTGGCGTTGTTTCGAGTTTACATGCATCACGGACTTCGGAAGATAGGACGTATTCTGTCCTTTAAATGTAAATTGTAATGAATCTAAAAGATGTTAGCTATCGCGCCAGATGATAGCTGTTTTTCTGCCATAAACTACTGCAATTGGTTCTTCAGGGGCCCTGAAAAAACTTTATAATTACCCTGCCTTATGTCGATTGTTGTCATAGCCCTGGTATGATTTAATGGTTAATCTAATCTAAATGTCAGCCTACGTAAAAAGTGTTTTATCTGGACTCTACCTGGCAGGGCACAAACCACTGTCAACCCCGGCCCTAACAGGTCCGTAACGCCAGGCCTCTAGAAAGATTGCGATGAGTCAGCCTCTATGCCAGAGTACATTTTGCGTACAGGGAGGCATGTGTTTATCAAAAGATGCCATTTGCTTAAGTCAGATTTTGGGATAAAGATGGGGTGTGGCTAGGTGGACGTGTTAGGCAGGGAGATGGTATTGATAAAAGACTTCTTCATACAGGCGGGACTCCCTCGCTGTCCATGAGAGCTAAGTTTAAAGCTAACCAATTTGAACTTCAAAAATGTAGCTAGTATCTTACATGTAGATTCTAGGAATACTTTATTATCTTTGACTCAGTTAGGACTATAATATAAATCTTAGCTACAGACGGGACGGGTGAAGGATGGGCTGAGCGTACAGTGGTAGGTGTTCCCAGAATGCATAAAATTAATCGGGAATCAGGGGCGGAGGAGAAGAGCAGAAGAAAGGACATTTGGTGAAGTGACGCGATTGACCGCGACCGCGGACGCAGGGAGCAAGTGCGTGCCAGGCACCAGCCAGCCATCTCTAGCGCCCTAGAAGCGGCAACGATGGCTGGGACAGGCAAGTTCGCGAATGCCATTATCTCCGAGGCCTCTGCACTGTCTAATTTCAACACCACAGGGCAGTCCAGTCGTAGCTTAGCGTGAGAACTGTGCGAGAATCGTGGGGAGTTATTGAGGATGTACGCCTCCCTGTATAAGGGCCGAAGGACTTTGAGAGCATGGCGCTCTTTGCCACGATGCTCCTGTCCCCGGTCCCTTTCGGCCGCGGCTTACGCTCGCTGTTCGCACTGCACGCGCTAGTCGGCGAGATTCAAGCGACGGAAGCCGGAAGTCGGGGAAAAGGGCTTGGACTCCGTCCGCTTCAGGGAGCCCCAGCCCCTTCTTTACCCTGCTTGTCGGCAGCACTTGTATCCGACCAACGAATGGGGCAAATGACGTCTGCACGGTGGAACTAACTGCTGGGATGCGTCGCCTGTGGAGGACGAATGCTCCCTTCAGCTGAAATAGGGCCGCCAGCACCATCTCCAGCTTGCGCTTGGACCAGCTAGATATCCATGTCACATGAGCTTCTTGATCGCGTCACGTACGTAACACTCTCCGTAACTAGCTGCGTCTCTTCCACATCAAATCATTGATTGGGTAATCAGAAATCAAGATACGGCACATGACCCGCATATTTTGCAAATGCTGGGTTTATTTATTATTCTGCTACCTGTACTAACGAATTCTCAGCTCAAGCAGCTCCTATCTCCCCCAGTCCATACCTTGTACGATGCTCCTATCATCTTCCGTCACCAAAAAGATCTCTGTTTTAGCGCCCAAAATTGAAAGCCATTCAGCTTAGTATTTGCCCGTGGGAATCGGCCTTCAATTCTACGATTACTTATTTGTACATGTTAGAAGGTTCCTAAAACCTTAGTGTTCACTATGGATTTCATTCAAAAATACCAGCATGAGGTGCGTCTGTTTACATTGAACAGCCGACCTTTGTCTATGAGTACCGGCAAGAGGAGATTTCAAAATCTTTATGTTTAATAAATGTGAACCGCGAGATGATGGCCGGGATTTTCCGGACTCGGACCAGTGACCTTCAGTCTCAGCTGGAATAGGTGTCCAAGCTATCCAGTCTCCAAAGTAGAGTAAGTCCGGATGATGTACCACTGCAACAACCGACGTTAGTGGTGCCTCCACGATTTCCACAGTTGATTAAAACCTTCATATTATGCCAACATGATCTCTGCTTTGTCCTGCAGCACGTACCAGCGGAGGTTATAAAAATTGGTCTTGATAGCCATCTGTCTGAAAATAACCGTTGTCCTTGTTAAGAGCGACGTATCACAAGGGAGATACGGCTCTTCTCGTTACACCTTGCATGAAGAGCCATGGTTGTCTTGTTGCTAGACACTGGCCTTGTGAGAGGCAGAAGAGGGAGGGTACAACGCGAGGCGTAAATACCCCCGGCCTATAGGCACAGAGAAACTAATTTCCCGCAGTCTTCGAATGCCAAAACGTCATCCCTCTTTACTTGTTCAATCCAGCTTCAATTTATTGGCCCATGAAAATGTATGGCTATATTACTCACGGAACGAGCTTGCAAGCAAAAATCTGTCTCTCCGTCGCGTTGATACAGGCCAACGGAGGGCAAGACTGAACGCCTGTACGCAGTGTCCTCTTCGAACCTGGGAGTGATATATTCTCCCAGAGCCACGTTCAGTCAAATTTCGCAATATCAAAGAAGTTGGCCCACGAGGCAATGATTCAATTTACTCCTCCACGTCATTTTTTCACTCCCAACGAGTTAGACTCCTACCTAAGTCTCATCAAGCCTACAAGTACGACCAAGTACATCCTCATCCCAATGACCACACCACTCTTCGATCTTCTCTGACCTCAGCCGGTCACCAAATACACTCTCACGCCGATATTTATACCCGACGGAGGAAGCAAAGCCTGGCACACAATTCTGGGAGACAGTTCTTTGGGATGGACATGAGAGGGATTAGAACAAGTTCCCAAGATGATGCAAAGGAAGGATACAACCTCGAAGGGCATGAAATTCCGAATTTGGCAAGGAGTTTTACGAATTGGGCTTTGTGCGCGCCAAGAATTCGCTTGCGAGAGAGCAGCTCACACCATAAAAACAAGCCGACGATGGAAGGTTTTGTGATCCGCCTCCTGGTGGTGTTCTCCGGTATAGTCTGAGTAGCCTAGGCACCTACTACACTTGGGAAGGAGACACCTAAGACCACATTTCGCGCGGAGAAAAGTTGATGGATGGCGGAGGCATGTCTGGATAACTCAGGGTTTTTGAGACGTTTCCCTGGGTGGGAATTGACGGGTGAAGGCTGACTCGGCATGAAAAAAGCTGCCATGACTTCGCAGTGGTACTTGCAAATGAAATCCGCGGCATTTGTGCTCTTCCTTTATCTTGAATTATCTATTATGTACTTTTCTTTGACATTGTGTCATAGCTAGATAGCTGCATACGCAATTCAAATCTGATGCAAAAAAAAGATACAGGTCCACATATGTGAGGTGTACAAAAAATGAGAGTAAAGGTTCATCAAAAATAAAATGTGAATAAACTTGTGGACTAGAAGGGCGGAGGAAATGATCAAAGGGATTAATTTTATCTTGAATACATTTAGATATATTGTCATAGCTATATAGTGGAATACAGTGTGATCAAAAAAAGATCAAGGCCTGGGAGGGCAAAGAATGAATACCTGGCTGCCGTGTCCTCTACGAACCCGGGAGTGAGATATTCACCTAGAGCCAAGCTCAGTCAAATTTCGCAATATCAAAGAAGTTGGCCCACGAGGCAATGATTCAATTTACTCCTCCACGTCATTTTTTCACTCCCAACGAGTTAGACTCCTACCTAAGTCTCATCAAGCCTACAAGTACGACCAAGTACATCCTCATCCCAACGACCACACCACTCTTCGACCTTCTCTGACCTCAGCTGACCACCAAATACACGCCCACGCCGGTAATCACATCCGATAGAGGAAACAAAGCGTATCGCACAAATCTTGGAGACAGATCTTTGGAATGGGCGTGAGAGACCTGGATAGATTTGTAAGATAATTCAGAGGATGGGTATAATCTTGACGGGTGTTAAATCTGGAATTCTGATAATGAGTTTTACGAACTGAGCCTAGTGCGCGTGCCAAGACTTCGGTTGCGGGAGTGTATCTGACACTGTAAAAACCGCCATGGCTGGATAGTGCAGTGGTACACAATCTGGGTCAGTCGCTCAAGATCTGGATAGCTTTGACACGTATCCCACTCGAGACAGGAGATCCTTGGTCCGAATCCGGCAAAGTACAACCACATTCCTCGCGGTGCTCGTATACATGGATGCCGAAGACATGGTTTGATAATCAGGGGCTTTGAATTTCCCTTTGGTGGGTACTTACGGAAGAGGGTCGACTTTTTGTGTAAGCAAACATATTTAGTGGTTCTTACAAATGAAATCCAGAGAATGAGTGTCTCGAAGATCAAAAGGGCTATCCAATATGTATACACGCACTGGTCATGTGTCGTAGCCAGACGACTGCATATATTCCAATGGTAAATAAAATTTTTTAAAAATTGCTGCTTGTATCCATCTTATTCCAATGAGAAAAATTCTAATTGACTTACATGTCAACTTAAAATTATTCGAAAATTTCGAAAAAAGTAATTAAAAAATTCTTTAAACCATCAAATCAAAGGAATTTTAAGAAATTTCTCCTATTTATTAGATGCTTTTAGAGAAAGAGCCATCATCCAGTGCAATGGCTCCCGCTATCATATCGTCACCAATATTTTCCGCTTGGGAG